ATTTAAGCAAAGACCCTGCTCTTTCCTTTTCTCCTTGAGAGGGGGGGCACTCCCCCAAAGCTCCCACCCCAAGAGCTGTGGATAAGCCAGCGCCCCCGAGAGAGGCTTGGGCCCGGAGCCTGAGGCACTGTCCCAAATAACCCTGCAACCAGATTTCAACAGATCCCTCCCTTGGAGCGGCTCCCCCCCTCCCCCCCCTCCCCCCCCCCCCCGCACTGACCCACTCCGCAGACGGCTGGCCGGGGGTGGGGGGGGGGAGCGGCCCCTTCTGAGGTAACCACCCGCCCCTTTCTCACCTTCCCCCCCAGAGCACCCGGCTAACGTGAGATCGCGCGGCGCCTCTGCGCCGCCCGGGGTTGGGGTGCGGTCTTGAGGCCCGCGGGCCACCGGTTCCTCCTCTCGTCCGCGCGGCCCGGGGGTCCTCGCGCCCCCAGCCCCTCGTTTAGCCCGCCCCCCGCCCGTCCGTGCGGCCAGCTTTCCCGGGGCCCTCTGCGCAGTGTATGGGGTTATTTTTACTTTCGGTTATCTAGCTTTATGAAGACTCCACACCACTCATACAGCTAGATAACCAAAGATAACAACCAACCCCGCCTCCTGGCTGCTGCCGCTGCCTCTTCCACGCAGCCTCCCGGCCGCCGCCGCCGCCGCCGCCGCCCCCGCCCCCGGACGCCCGCCGGTGGAGGTGGGAGAGGGCACAGGGGTGGAGGTGGGGGCGGAGAGAGAAACGGAGCCCAAGACGGAAAGGGACCCGGAGTACAGGACACAGGCACCACGGACACCGAAAAGGGCGTGGAAGGACGCGGCGCCGCCGGCGTGGAGGCCCAGGGATCGCCCCCGGACCCGAGAAGCTTCGAACGCCCGGTTTCCCCATCCGAGCCAGAAGCGCGAGTTCGGCGGGTCCTTCCGCACGAAGAGGGACGACTCGCGGGCTTTCGCGCCACCCGGGAAGACCGCAGGGACCGCGGCGGAGGCCTCGGCCAGCCCACGGGGTCCCCGCCGCCCTCCCTTGGAGGCTGCGGGACGCGCCCCACAGCCCAAGCCTCTGCGTGGGAGCCGCGGGGACCCCCAGCTCGCCAAGGGCTGGAACCCCGCTGCCCGCGGGGGTTGGGGGAGCAGCGAATCATGGGGGAAGCCCCGGCAGCGTCCCGGCAGGGAACAGGAAATCCCGGCAACCGGGAGGGAGGCAGGCTGGTGCGGGGTGGGCGCCCCCAGAGCCTCCCAAGCGCGCCTCGGGGAGAGAAGAAAAGGGCAGAGACCCCACCCGGGAGGGGTTCCGGGAGAGCACCCACGAGATGGGGCGGGCGGTGCAGGTGAGCGGGCCCCAGGCCCCACCGCGCCCCCCCCCACCCCCCGAGAAATGGCTTTGTACAAAGAGGTCCACAAAGCCGCCAAGGCTGTGAAAATGGCCGGGGGCCCGAGGCGGGGGGGGGGGGGGGGGCGAGGCGGGAGGTGCCCCTGGGGCTTGGCGGGGATTCCGATCGAGAACGGGAATCGTCACGGAGGTCCCGGCGGGCAGCCCGGAGGAGGGTGTGGGGCTCGGCCGGCCCCTCGGGGCGGGCGCGCCGGCACGCTGGACGCTGGCGCTCGCCCACCTGCGGCCCCGAGCCGGCCAGGCCACTTACATGGAGCCCAGGGCGCCCATCGAGCTCTCCCGCGCCGTCCTCCCGGCGCGTTCCCGCCACGGAGAGCCGCGGCCCGGGTCCGGGGCGCCAGGGCTCATCGGGCGCGGGGTGCAGGCTCCCGCGGGTCTCAGCCTCCGCCGAGCCGCGGCCAGCACGGCCGGGCGGGCCTCGCCTCCCCAGCTCCCGCCTCCTCGGCGGCCGCTGCTCTGGCCCGGGCGCGCTCCGGCTCCGGACTTTTCATTCATCCTTTCACGCTCCCTCCCCAGGCCAGCCTCCGATTGGCTCCGCCACGTCTGACGTCACCACCTCGTCTCCCCGCCGGCCCCGCCCCTCCCCTGCCTTGGAAGAGCTGGAGCGCGCAATTGGGGCGCCCCTCCCCCCCCCAGAACGGGGTGGGGGAGGAACTACTACCTCTGTGTGCGGATTCCCAGCCTCCTGCGGCCTCACCCACCCCGAGACCCGCCTGCCATCTCCCATCCGCTGCCATTTGGGGTTTTGATCTCAATCCTCCCTCTTTCTGGAGGTCCTACATTTTCCACTTGGGCCCCAGACACGTTGCACCAGGTCCAGGGGTGGGGGTGGGGGCAGAGACGGGAAAAGAGATCGGTGAAATCTCAAAAAGAACCAGATAACTGGAGATTCTGCCCCCACCTGCCGCCTCCGCTCAGGATATCCTTTGTGCTTGTGTTCTGATCCCTTCCAGACTGGGATCCTAACCTTTCAGGACGGGCGGAAACCTGTCTTGTTGGTTTTCAACCCCAAACAGGGAGGGAGAGATTCTGGAAGTTAGTCTGAGCGAGACAGGGCCTCCCTCTTTGCTGTGCGGGGACGGGCATCTCTCGGAACCTGCTCGCTGCACCAAGGTTCCAGGTGGAGGAGGCTGGAGGGTCCCAGCTGGCATTAACCCGGGCAGCATCCACAGATCTGCCACGGAGGCCCTTGCAACCGCCTTCTCTCCCTTGCCCTTCCTGGTGCGCCTCCAACGGCGAGCCCTGCGCCCCCACCTCCGCGCCAGCTCCGGGTGTCTGGAGAGCTGGGGTTTGAAGTTCCGGGCTTCCCTGACCTGGCTCCCCATCTGGCCCAGAGAATCAGAAAACGCAGCGTCCCAACCCGGGGCAGCTCGCGTCTCCCCGCAGGGGGAGTCCGGATTCTCCCTGCCTGGCAGAGCTCTCTGGGAGAGCTGCGGGGCCCTAGCTGAGTCGCGTTGGTCCTCGGCTCTGCGAACTCCCTTCCGGAGCTGTCACGCCCCTCCAACCACGTTACTCTCGGTCCCTTTGCTAAAAACTCCTACGACTTACATACCTAGAGCCTGTGTGTCTGCTTGGTAAGGGCCGATCCCTATCACCTGCTGTCCTTGAACACTATGCCAACAGAGGAGCGCTCCGGGGGACCTGGGGTCTCCCCAGCAGGCCCAGCCAGACGGTTTTATCCACTCCAGGGCCTCGCCTCTCTGCACAGTCTAGGACAAAGCCGAGCCTGAACACCATTCGCCTTGGTTAGATGCAAGCCAGTGGCCAATGGGTTTCATTTTATGCACCCCTCAAAGGTTGGAGAATGTCTGAATAACCACTACGTTATTGTGAGGTGGGGGACATTTTGAAATAGGGTAAAGGCCAGGGGCCTGAGTTTCCCTACCCAAGCGGCAGTATGGGGCTGAAGCAGACAGCCTGATTTCCCCAGGTCTCGGGACTGTGCTTGGCACAGCTTTTTTTTTCCCCCTCTGTCAGCCTCCAGAGGGTCTCAGGACCCTTACCTAAGGGAAAGGCTTTCTAGAAGCTTCCACAGCATCAATTCTTTACCCTCTCGGAACTGGGAGCACAGCAGCCAACAGTGGGGAAAAAATAAAAGAGGTCAGGTGCCCACTGCCTGCTTTTTCTGCCTGAACCTCCCAGGTGCCCCTCGAACTCAAAATGGAGCATGGGGGGGGGGGGCGTGCACTGGGGTCTCTGTTGCCCCAGTTCAGTTGCAGAAAAGTGGAACCTTCCCCAAACACTCACAGATAAACCTACCCTACTGGCGTGCCGCTAGGCGCACTCCTTAAATGCACCCTCCAAAACAGGCCCCAGAGAAACTATAGGCCCCTCCAGCCTTCCAGCTTCCCACCTACAGACCTCCCCCAATATTTCTAGGTACACGACCTCACACCCCCTTATAAGATACCCAATACCCTCCAGACGTTCCAGTAACCCTCAATAGGGCTACACTTCGCGCACACACACACCAGCTTCCCCTACAGATACTTCCGCATTTGCCCCCAGCCTCCCCGCAAGGTCCCTTAAAAGCACCCTAGGCGAACTTTCTCGGCCTCCCAGCCCCCTCGCCCAGTGCCTGCGAGGCCCAGTGCCTGCGAGGCCGGGGTGGCAGGTGGGAAAGAGCTGGCTCTCCCGCTCGCCAACAGGCTCTGCTCCGTTCTCTTCTGTCACCAATGCCAGCGGGGCCCCTCCCCTCCGTGGGCCCAGGCTTAGCCCCACCCCCCCCCCCCTTACCCCAGAGCCACCCAGCAGCGCTGTGAGCTCGGAGTGGGGATCGGCATGAACCTTCCTTCTCTTTCAGCCACTGCTATAATTTTGTGGGGGTAGGGGAGGTAGACACAGAAAGGTTTCTTTGCCCCGTGGAGAGCCCCCACCCCCACCCCTATTGGCCAACATCAGACTCAGCTGAGGTTCTGAAAAACTGAGGTCTGGGAAGAAACGGGTACCTTTCCCAATCTCCCCCAAATAGCTAGATAAAGAGCTGGGTCCTCTGCCTCTTGCCGTGGGTTCTACAGAAGCACCTCAACCCCGACAGCGTCCACATTTAAGGAGTCCCCCACAAAAGAAAATGGAGATTACTTTAAGTCGGAATCACCCTATCTGTCCAGATTCCGGATGAAGCAACGTTCTGTTCGGTTTTGTGTGGGCAGACTCGAACTCCCAGGGCTCCCGCTCAGGGGTGGCGGCGAGTGGGGTCCCCTCGGGCTCATTCCCAGGGGCACGGGGCTGTAAGCCTTGAGGGAGGCAGAGACACTCCCCCCCCCCACCTCCACTGGCACCTTAGCCGGGCTTGGTTTGCACAGCCAGCGCCCGCACTCCAGCTTCCGAAAGGAAACTACTTGAAGGGGAGCAGAGGAGACCGCCCTCGGGGACAGAGGCGAAGTCACAGCCATTCATTGGGGTCTCGGGGGTCTGACACCGGGTGGGCGCCCAGGAGTGACAGCCTGCACCTGTGGGTGCCCCTGCCCGTCTGGGTTTGCTCTCACGCGCTGTGGGTGGAGAGGGAGGGTGTTGCCAAAATGCGTGTCCCGAGTGGGATCCGCGTGGGAGGGGAGGGGTGGGGCCACCTCGCCGCCTGTGTCGGCTCCTCTGGCCGCAGGGGACCCTTCCGCCATCTCGGACCAGAAGCAGCAGGCCTGAGGGAGGCGGCCGCTAGAGCAAGAGGGGGCCTGAGGTCCCCTTTTGCTTGGCCTGTCAGCCTCAGTGTCCCCAAAAAGGCCTCCACCCGAGCCCACAGCACTCTCCACTGCGGTCGCTGTTCTAGAGCCATGGCCTGCAGACCCCACCCCGTCCTTCCAGGGAGATTCTGGGGGTGCTGCGGGGAGAGCCCCCCAAGTCCCTGGCGTCGATCTGAGTGTGGAAGTGTCTCAGTCAGCTTGGAGCCTGTCCCTTGCCAGTGCCTGCCCCACCCCCATCGCCACGGTCCCCGTCCCGATGCCCACCCATTGTCTGTGCCTGAAGAGCCCACGTAGAGAAAAACATGGCCTCAATTGTGCTCTCGGGATGCAGCTTTTGGACAGATTTTTATACCTTGGGTCCAGAATACATTTTGGCGTTAAGCCACGCTCGTGAAATATTCAGGTAATTAAATAAAAAGCATATTTTTTCTTTGTCTCAGTCACCAGAGGAGTTTGCCTTGAGGACACAGATGGAAGCCGCGGTTGGAGGAGGTGGGTTCAGGTATTTATTTCTGCCTTTTAAGTGCATCCTTATTATGAACATTGCCACCCATTATCCTTTTGCTATGGAATATTTGCATTGTCTGTGGGATGGCGACTCGGAAAGCAAGAATTGGCAGGAAAAGAAATGCTGATGCTCTGGGGGACGCCAATCCGTCTACCTCCATAAGGGCAGAGGAGGTTTGAGGGCTTGGGGACGCAATCTGGAGGATCCTGTCGCTGGGGCTGCCGCCCTTCCCTGCCCCCAAGACAGTGTTTTTCTCGTGGTGAGAGGCCAGCCTGAGAATTCCTCCGGCCTCTGTGAGCGCTGCCCCCTCCTGCCCCCGGTCCTCCCTTAAACCCACAGGCGGTGCGCTCGCCCGCTCGCCTCCGAGCCCTATGGAGCCGGGGAGGTGAGGACAAGGAGACAGAGATAGCAGAGGGTCCACCATCCGCAAATGGCCTCCTTGAGGGGCAAAAGTGCGGGTGTGTAAGGCGCTGTGCCTGCACACACACGCACAGAAGCCTGTGCACACGCACAGGCCAACGCCAGGGTATGTCCTCGGCCCTCCCAGCAGGAGCGTCGGATGCTCCCGGAGGCATACACCCTCACGTGCCTGCTTCCCGGATCCGGCTCAGCACAACCCGCACCGCCCTCCTCTTTCACCTGTCACCGGGTACAGACATCTCCGCGCCTCCCCGGGGTCCCCCGGCTGCCGCCCTTAGGAGCCGCTGAGAGAAGGGGAAGGGCCCCCTGAATCCCCAGGGCCTCTCCTCCCTCTCGCGGAACTGGGCGCAGGGGGGGCCCTCGTTCCCTCGCTCCCTCCCATCATCAAGGCTCCACAGGTCTTACTGCCATCAGAGTGGAGCAAAGTCAGAGCCCACAGCTGGAAGAGGCAGGGTGACCTGACGAGGTGGGGACAACGAGAGGACACAGAGGCCATACAGGGCCAGCTCCCCCGCCTGCCCCTCCATTGAAAGCAAACAAATGAGATAAATACCCTAAAAGCCAAGGTGGTCGCCCACGATGACGGTGACACCGGACCCGGACCGAGGCCGCTGCTTCCGGACGCCCAGCCCTGCCAAGGAGGAGAATGCGAAGGTTACAGTCCTGGAGTGGCTCCGGTTCTCTCCGTCCCCCCATCTCCCTGCCACCCTGCCCCCTCCCATCTCTCCCTCCTCCACAGTCCCGCCCTCGTCCGTCACCAGCCCTCCGGGCAGCACAGGGCAGCAGCTGGGAGAGAAAAGCCTAGATGTGCAGGAGGGGCAGGGCCCTGGGCAGCCCGGGGACTCTCCAGCCCCAAGCTGCCTGGACCCCGTGTCCTCAGCCCCCACTCACAGCCTGCTGTGCCTCCGTCCGAAGCGAAGCAAAGGCCCTCGCTTGCTCGCTCGTCCCGGAGGAGGAGCCCCTCGCCCAGCCGGACACTCTCTCCTCGCAGCCCCCTCTGCTCGGGACAGAAGGGAAGACCCACCCGGGGGCAAGCCTCTGTTTTTCCGTCCAGATCCGACCGCATTACAAGCTGTAAAGCGCCCTGCCCTCAGGATATCGCGGGGGAGCTTTCTAGAGCTCCCATCCGCAGGAGCAGATCCAGGAGCTGGCCTCCCCTCTCCTCCTCTGCTCCCCCCCCCCCCCCGGCTCACACACACAAGAGGTGAGAATACAAAGCAGCTTTTTCATTTCGATGTTGGGTGTGGAACCTACTCTCCCGGCCCAGTATTTTGCTTTCGGGCTGAATTTTTATTTAGGGGAATGACTTGGGTGACCCGGCTCCTGAAACACTAAGGGAAGTGTATTTGTGTGTGCGTGTGGGTGTGTGTGCGCGCATGTGTGTGTGTGGGGGGGGGGTAAGGTGGTGAATCTTTCTGCCTCAAACTCAATTCCACAACTTCCTCACCTTCTTTTTTTAATCAGGAAGATAATCTACCTTAATGCAGAGGAAACCATAAAAAGGAAGGCTAGGGGTCAGGAGTAAGTCTTACCTCCAAGCCTGATTTCTAGAAGGAGTGCTTGGAATGCCCCCCCCCCCTTGCTCCCAGCCTCAGCTCTGCCAGCCCACCCATGCATAAAGGGATGTTCCCTCTGAAATGATCCTCAAGCCAAAGAGGCACCAACCCTCCAGCTTGCAGACCCCTTGGAAAATGGACACAGACACAGCTGGGGGCCTCCGGCTCCTTCCGCCCTCATCAGAGAGTCGTGGGGTCCCTGTGTGTGCCTCTCCCTGCTGAGCCCTGCCCTGCACCCCACCCCACCCCCAAAACATACACATAGTGCCCAGGGAAACACGGTGACAAGGTCTGTGCTGGGGGGTCACAGAGCGTGTGTATGTTTGGTGACCCACAGCCTCGGCTTCTCCCAGCAATCTGGCCTCTGGGAGACCAGAAGTGGTCTGGGGGCCTCCCGCCCCCACTGCCCCACAGTGGTCCCAGCCTGCCCCCAGGAAGCCCCGTGCAGGTGGGGACACCAGTGCCTTCTGTCTACATCCCCTGGCCCTTCTGAAAAAACAAGAGATTAAGGACGGCATCAGATGGGCAGGGGAGGGGATGGGGAGGGCTCTTACCCCTTCCTTCCCCAAAGCTCGGGCCCCAACACCTCACTTGCCTTTCAGCTCCCCTCAGCCCCTTTCCCACCTGCCAGCTCTTGGGAAAAGCGGGGACGAAGGAGGAACTGAATTAATCTAAATCCTACAAAATGCTCTTGGATTTTTTTCCCTAATTCTGGTCTCCCCCTGTGTGGGAACGTGGCTCCTTTTCCCCCTCGTGCCCCCAGCCCCTCAGACTTGGTCCTTTCCTAAGAGCTGAGGTCTGTAGGGCGGAGAGGCCCAGAGCCAGGAAAGGAAAGGTCAGGAGTCCAGATACAGAAGAATTTTCTCTTCCCTCCCATCCGCACTCCGCTCCCCTCCCGCCCCTCCTCTGGTACCGGCATTAAGATGTTGGCCGTCTGCTGGAGAGAGGGAGGGGCAGATTAATGGGATCAGTAGCACCGTGACCCTAAAGCTCCCCTGAATCCCATTGACAAACTTGGTGAGCTGTCTCGCGGTCGCCCGGGGCGAGCGGAAGGAGGCCCCCCCCCACCCCAGGCTCTGGAGGCGGGGCAGGGCCGCTGCCTCTGCTCGCTGCCCTGGGCGCCCCGGACCCAAGAGGGGAGACCCCGCTCCGCCAACCACCCCTGCACGCGCCCGCCCCACCCCTTCTGGTCCCCCCCCTTAAATCTTTCATCAGCCTTTCCTTTCTCTGATGATCGCGCCCGCCTCCATTAGCCGTTGGGCCAGGTGGGGCGCCCCGACTGATTTCAGGGGATCCCATCCCACCCCAGCCCGCATGGCCGAGGCAGCAAGGACCCTCTCCCGTGGCCACTCACCCGGCGCTTCTGGGAGGAGGAGAGGCGGCTCGGTGGCCCCTGCCGCCCGCCCGACTGCCTCTCTCGAGGCTCCCAGCCTCCCGTGGCGCGGGGGTGCGGCCCGGTGACGGTGACGTAGCATCGGTCCGTCCATTCAGGAATTCCTCTCGCCTCGCTCTTTCTTTCTCCCGCTGCTCTCCCTGGAAGGCAGCAAAGAGGGGGTGCTGCCCCTGTCTGGAGACACCACGGCCACCGAAATGACAGCCCGCCCGGAGGACGCCCCCTCCTCTCCCGCTCCCATGCCTGTGTGGGAAGGGGTCTTTGTCGCTCGCCCGTCCCCACCTCCTCCCGCCGCCTTTTCTAACCTGAGGCAGGAAGAAGGGGCGAGGGAAGCTATTGTTCCTCCCGGCCACCCTCATCCCCAGAGGAAGAGAGAGACCGGCTGGGACGGGAGCGCGCGGTCCCCAGTCTCCCGCCAGGTCGAACTGACCTCCGGACTCGGGAGCGTCCCGGGTTGGGGGGTGAGGAGTGACGGCAGAAGGACGCTTTGCCGTTTCAGGGTGTCCCCCGACCCCCGTCTCCGTCAGCTGGACGAATCACAAGTCCACATCTTAGTTGTGAAGGACAAAGTGACACTTGGGGGCTGAGGGAGGGGGAGCAGGGTGGGGGCGGCGAAGGCCAGCGCTCGGAAGTCTAGACGGGAGACGGGAGGGGTGGGACCACAGATTCAAAGTGGGAGATAAATTATCTTGTTCTCAGAGGAGGGAGAGCCACTCGAGGGCTGGTTTCCAGGGCCGGGGTCCCAATATCTGCTGGACGCGGAGGGGGGGCGCCCAGGATGGCACAATGGCCGCGTCTCCTCTGTCACCCCCACCCCGCCCCTCCCTCCCCTCCCTCCCACTCTCCCGGCCCGGCCTGGGAACTCAGTCTGAGCTCGACGTGACAGACAGCAGGCCTGCATGCTAATGAAGTTTGTCTCAAGTTCATTGTCAAAGCCCCCCCTTCCCCAAGGCCCCCTCCCCTCCTCTCTCATACACAAATCTCCCTCCAACTTTTGTCCCACAGACCTGGAGGCCACTCGAGTCCCTGCCCGCTCCCCTCTCTCACCCTCCCCCACTGCTTTCAGTGTCCCCCCCCCCCCTGCCCACTGCCTCCCTGAGCCGGGGCGGGGGCCTCTCTCCCGCCCGGTGCCTTCCCAGCCACCTTCCGGCCTGCGTCCCTGAGCTCTGAAGGCGGGATTCCGAGGGCTTAGGTCAGAGTCCGCAGGCCCGGAGCTTCCTTCCGCACCCCGAGCAGGGAGCAGGGAGACCGAGCGGGCGGGTGGGGGAAGGCCAGACTGCCCCCCACTCCAGCCTCAGCCCCCCCTCCCCCCATTCCTCCCATTATGATTACTTTGCTCTCCCCTTGATTACATCTGCTTCACTAGCTCAGAAATAAAGATCCTTTGAGACGAATTTTGCGCCCCCAGCTCCCCACCCCTTCCCTCCTCCTTCCCTCCAGGCCTGGGCTCCCTTCAGCTCCTTTCTCACCGGCTGGAAGACATTGAGTTCCTTGTCTAGGGGGCTGGGGGGCCGGCGGGAGGGTGCCAGTGGGGCGGAGGGGGTCTCTCCAACTCAGGGACGTGTCCAGCAACCCAAACCTGTCCTCCCTTTGTTCCCGCAAATCTCTTCACACTATCCCCACGCTCTGGAGTCTGCCTTTCTCCCAGTAAGCGGGGGGCTGGGGGGCGGGGAGGAGGACCCTGAACTCACTCCACCCCTCAATTCCAGGAAAAGGAGGGAGGGGGAGAAAAGGGAGAAAAAGATCGAATCCCCCCCCTCATTAGCCAGAAAGGAAGCGAAAGGGGATAATTATAATTAAAAGCAGACAGCTGTGGATCGCGTCTTTTATGTTCCCCACGCCTCCTCCCACCTCTGCCGTCCCCCAAACATCTGCACGGCTCCGTGAGCACCGTCCCCCTGACGTGCGGGGGGGGGGGGGACGGGGGTGGGGGGTGGGGTGGGGTGGGGGGGCTGAGGTGCGGGGGCAGCTTTGGGGAACGGCGCCCAGTAGCCGGCACTTTCCTAAACATCTCAACAGACCCAAGCGTAGGGAGGTGTCTTCCTCCTGCGCCCCAACCTGCACCCCAAAGTACGGCCCCCCCCCCCACAGGAGGTGAGGGCATCCGGGTAATAACAAGTAATTCAACAACTGGGTGTGGGGGGGAGATCTTCGATTTTCCTAAAACTGGTCACACCTGATTCATAATAACATCGGTACATACAAATCACATGTGATCTAGAATATTTTCTCATCCGGGCCGGTCTCCCCTCCTCCGAACACAGGAGGGGCCGGCCGGGAGCCAGGACCTCCGAGGGCTGTGTTGTAACAAAGAGAGGCTTGTGGATTTAGGGTACACATACTTTATAATTTGGGGTGGTGTTGCTGGGCCTAACTCTGCTACCCATGTATTTATAGAACTTGATCCTAGGCCAGAACAGCAGGGTAATTATAGCATTATTAGCATATATGCAAATCAAGTAACCTATATACGCTGAATGGAAGCAAATTATTATTTATTTCTCTCCCCCCTCTCCTTCCAGCTCTGGCATCAGAGCCGCACGCCAGCAATTATCTGACACTGGGAGAGGGGCCGCAGGCCCGGAGGAGGGGGCTGACGGAGGGGGACATTTTGCTCAGCTCTCTTCTGGGAAGAGTAGGGAGGGGCTGGGAAGAAGTCTTTGAATTAACAAAGGTAGGGTGGGGTGAGGGTGGAGAGACAGAGACCTGGGACCGAGGGGGACGGACGAAGCCAGGGAAGCTGTGAAGAGTGACAGAGGTGGAGAGACGGACGCCCGGCTCAAGGGAGTGGGGGAGCGGGGACACATTCGGGAGGGCCCACGGAGGGGGCGTCCTGACTGGGCGAGAAAACAAGGGCCTGCCTATCTGGGTGGGGGGGCGGCATGGGCTCATCCCGGACGTTCTGGTCGTAGGCCTGGGGCTGGGCGCTCTCCCAGCTGCTGCCAAAGCCCACCCCGTTCCCAGGCCCTGTGCCCGCCCTGTTTGCCCCACCTAGTAAATAGTCAAGGGCACTAAGCACGGGGTGTTGGCACCTGCTTCGGTCCAGCTGCTGGGTGAGCGCCCACAGGGAGGATAGAGTCCCACTGGAGCCCCTCCCCTCCCCCAGGGTGTCCGGCCTCCGTGGGGCTCCCCACCTAGATGTCCCCTGCTGCCTCGGGTTCTAAAGAGCCACATCACTGTCTCCCTTCCCCAGCTCCGGCCCTGTCTCACTCAGGCCTCCTGTACACCGCCTCTCGGGCTGGGAAGCGGGACCTGAGGGGTTTCTCCTTTTTCTACAATCGTTCCCAGGACTCGCCCCACTGACTCGGGGTCCCCCTTCCTCCGCCTGGCCGGGCAGGAGCCACGGACTTCATAGCCTCACCGACGTCCTTTCCTCCGTTCCCCTCGGAAGAGGCCTTCCACCCCCGAGTGGATCAAGGGGCCTTCTCCATTTGAGTGGCCACAAAGGCCTTTTCACGTCCCCAGAGATACCCGCAGCCCCAGCAATTCCAAATGTCCCCCTCTAGTACTGCTAAAGTGGCCATCTAGCTCCCCCCCCCCAACAGAACCTTTCCCCACCTGAGGCCGACTTCAAAGAAGGCCATACTGGGGAGATGACCTAAGCTGTGGTAGAATGAAGAAAGGGAAGGATCTTTGAAAGAAGCGGGCAGAGACAGACACCCAAAGAGACAGTAGCCAGAAGCCTGCAGGGAAACATAATGTCGAGGCTGCACTTAGATTTTTACACAAACACGAAAATGTGTGATCACATAAAGTATATAGAGACCAGCACGATGGACGGGCTTTATGGCCAATGACCTCCACGTCTACGAAATGCATTTGTCTCTATGTGTCCTCCTGTTTGCTCCTCTGGCGTATAATACACAACAGTGAAGTAGCCGAAGAGGGACTGAAAGAAAGACACACACACACACACACACACACACACACACACACACACACACACGCCCAGCAGAGAGAGGAGCCCAGAGAGGCAGAGACCAACACCTACAAGAAAGGCACCAAGGAGCCAGTCAAAGGCAGGGCAGACCAGGAGGCTGACAGCCAGCCGGCCCCAGGGGCCCAGCTTGCCTTTCTCTGTCCCACGTTAGCGACCTGGGACGTGGCCCTGACATCTGCCTGTTTCTCCTCCAGGCTCAGTCCAGAAACTGGCGAACGGATGGATCGGCGGCTTCAGCAGGCGTATCCCCCTGCCGGGATCTGGAGTCTTTGGACGGTGGCTGGACCCCCTCCCAGGGCTGTCCCGTGGAGACCCGGCCTCCAGCCACCCAGCATTCCAGACAGGGACTCACTAGCATTTCCCTTTTGAGCTATGCGCTTGCCCACGTCTGTGGCTCTCACATACAATGACTGACCTCCAAACCTATGGAGTTGTGTGTGTGCGCGTGAACATCTCTCATCTCCTCTTCTCTCCTGCAAAATGCATGTCCCTGGCAATCCAGTTGGACATCTGTAACCTTGCCTGCCCCTTGCCTGGTATGGTTCTCAGGGGCCATGGGTGGAGCAGGTCTGGAGAGGGCACCCACAGCTTTGTGTTTTCGCCCAGCAGGGTCTGTGTGTCCCGACACCTGCCTGGGGTCAGGTTCCGCCATCGCCATTGGCCACATATCTGGCCACCACTCGTGTGCGGCTATACCCGAGGGACCCTTCCAGACCCAGGACTTCTGGGACCCGGTCCGGCTGGTCTTTTACCCCAGAGTTCATCCCCAAGGCTGCCAAAATATCCCTTTTTGTTGATTTGATGATATATCTGATACGTGTGTTTTCCCCACAAACCAGCCTTTCCCCACGCAGCTCCCACGGCACCAGTCACCCCAGACCTCGCCACAGAGGTCCGGCGAGCGTGCCCGCTTGGTCACAACACCCATGGGCTGGAGAAAGATTTTCTGTTGACATCTCCCCAGGTGTCTACTTGGTAACTATATCTGTACTTTTATTCCTAGAACCGCACACGTCTTTTCTGCTCCTTTTCACGGAAATCATGGTCCCTCTGTGGGCACCTGACCAAACGGCAGCACCGTGATCCGCGAGGCGGGAATACGAACGAACGGGCACACGGGTCCCATGCGCGCCACTCTAACACAGTGCCTTTTCCGGATGCTGTGCTGGCCCCTGTCTGCTTCACAGAAGGTTCTCCAGGTCCGATGCTCACCTCTGGGGCTGGGGCTCCCGGATTTGGGCCGGAACCCTGGGCCAAACAGGCGGCCAGTATTCCCCACCTTTGGAGCCCCTACCACCTCAGTCGAGGCAGAGGTGGTGAACTCTGGGCGGCTGTGTATGCGGCCGCGGTGCCTGCCGCGGAGACCGGCAGGTTCCCTCTGCACCCCGAGGCTGCGGGCGGGGGGGGGGGGGTCACACTGTGATGGTTTGTTAGCGCTGAAACCCCCCTGGGCTGCCCAGGGTGTGCGCGCAGGTTTAAGCGCGTCTGAGTCCCGTCTCCACAGAGCGCAGTGATGTGTGTGCTGTGTCCATTACGTCCCGGCTCTGCTTCCGCCAGGGCGGCGTGTTTGCGTGGCTTGAGGCTGCGTGTCTGACATTTGTCGATGTCGGTGTTTGCGGGTGTGTCTGGGGGTCCCTGAGTCCCAGTGTGAGCCGTGCGCCTGTCCCTCTGTCTGCCTGGGGCCAGGCCCCGCGCCCCCTGCCCTCCGACTCGAGTCGTGCAAATTTTCAGGTGGCTGGCTGCCCGCTTCCCACAAAGTCCCCGCTGGGGGCGGGGGGTCCTTCTAGGCTCTGCCAGCTCCGGGGACGCG